ACACCAAGTGAATTACAGGAAGAGTGGGAAGCAGAGGAGAGAAGAAAGATAGGAAGAGGGGGACAGGAGAGAGGGTGAGGGTGGGTAGATGAGGTGTATAAGGAGGAGTGGTACGGGAAGAGAGGAGAAGGAGAAAGGAAGGGGAAAGAGTAGAAAAGGATGATGGAGGGAAGAAAGGAGATAGAGAGGGGGAGGAGAGAGGGGGAAGAAAGTGTCGGATAAGGTATAAATATGGTGTATGGAGAGCAGAAGAGCCAATAACTGTTTTTTGGGTGTGTGTGTGTGTTAGTTGATGGCAAGATGAATTGATGTAATTACTTACATACAACATGATATTGACTATGTAATAGTATACATGTGATTATGTGCTATGAAAATGGAAAATAAAAAAAAAATTTATGGAGGAAAAAAAAATCAGCCACATGTGTGTGCACAACCATTACACAGACACACACATCAAAGCAGAGAAAGCAGGAAGCAGCTTCGGATGCCGCTGCCTGACATTTATAAGAGATGCGACTCCTTTAATGCTCTGAAAGATTATGTTGGCTTCAACTCCTGTCCTTTGTTTTGCCGCCCCTTGCAGACTTCCCTGCTCGAACAGAGTGAAACACTTTTGCACCGTCCTCTTGTTGATAATGTTCTTTCATTATTGTTGGTATATTAATTTGTCCTTCAATATAGTACTAATTCCAAGGGAACATGATTGAAAGGAAGAAGTAAAGTAAGGTAAGGTAAAGGTAAGGTAAAGGTAAAGATTCCTCTCACATATATGTACTAGTTGTTCCTGACTCTAGGGGGTGGTGCTCATCTCCGTTTCAAAGCCGAAGAGCCAGTGCTGTCCAAAGATGTCTCCATGGTCATGTAGCCAGCATGACTAAACACCGAAGGGGCCTGGAATGCTGTTACCTTCCCACCAAAGGTGGTCCCTATTTTTTTACTTGCATTTTTACATGCTTTCAAACTGCTAGGTTGGCAGAAGTTGGGACAAGTAGCAGGAGCTCACTCCATTATGAGGCGCTAGGGATTCGAAATGCTGACCTTTCTGATTGACAAGCTCAGCATCTTAGCCAGTGTGCCACCACATCAGCAAAGCAAAGCAAAGCAAAGCAAAGCAGAGCAGAGCAGAGCAGAGCAGAGCAGAGCACTATGAAGTAGTATATAAGTCTAAGTGCAATTGCTATTCTACATGGGAAATCTTATATGTGGGCTTTCAATCATATCTGGCTCAGGATGCATTGGCTAACCTTTGGTTTGGTCTGGTACAGATTTCACTTTCTTGTGCTAATCTTCTAGAGCAGGGATCCCCAACCCCCAGTCTGTAGACTGGGACCTGTCTGTGGAATGCCGGAAACCAGGCCACGCAAATAAGGGAAGTCCCATCCACAGAATGCAGGCAGCATATGAAACCACATCCCCTCCAGTCCGTGGAAAAACCTCTTTCCACAGAACAGGTCCCTGGAGCTCAAAGGATTGGGGGGCCCTGTTCTAGATGGTTTTACTTCTCCTCAGTAGGTGATTTTTTTTGAAATGTATATAAATACAAGGCTTCATTGAATTATCATGTCCATAAAGGAGCTTTTTATCTTTACCATTGAAGTAAATGTTACTGCGTAAAAATTAGGATGAATGTATTGAATCACTGGTGATATTATCACTGAATAAAGCCGAAATAGTAATAATAATATGAATTACAGTATGGGGGACAGCAGTAAAAAATGAAGGAACCTTTAACAAATGGTTAATTGTTTTAACTGTTTTTAATTTTATTTATATAAATTTGTTTATGTTGCTTACGTTGCTTCCAAGTGTGGAGTTATTAGTTTTGATTTAGCTTGTGAATCACCCAGTCATATATGTAAAAATGGATGGCTATATACATTGAATGAAATAAAATAAAACAGATACAGAGAATAAAAGAGCCACGGTGCCACAGTGGTTAGAGAATGTAGTATTGCAGGCTAATTCAGCTCACTGCCAGGAGTTTGAATCCTCACCGGCTCAAGGTTGACTCAGCGTTCCATCCTTCCGAGGTTAGCAAAATAAGGACCCAGATTGTTGGAGGCAAAACACTGACTCTGTGAACATCTTAGAGAATGCTATAAAACACTATGAAGTGCTATACAAGTGTAAGTGCTATTGCTGTTGCTAAATCAGATGATAGATGTTGCTGGATTAGAAGGGAAAGGAGAAGACCTTTTCCCAGTGGATTCCTTTTTAAATTGAGAGATTTGGCATCAGATTGGGCTTAATCAGTGATAGAAAAATCTAAGTTCTCATTCCCTAGGTAGACTAGGGTATTTCAAGAGGGTTCAGATCAGTACCAGTTACTCTTATTATTTTTTACTGGGAAGTTCTAAAAGAAAAAGAATCTGCCAATAAGATTTTAAATTATATCATCTCATATCTTGTAACAACAACCTGAAAGCAGAATCAACAGGACTGGAAGAATCCTGGAGTTTCACAAAGAACAAAACCAGAGGGTTGGAAGAATGGTGTGTGTGCTGTCTGGAAAGAAATACATTAATAATCAAGAGGTATGTTGAGAGTCAGTATAGTGAGGTCAGTAAATATTGAGCTGGACAAGGGGGATTGAGGTTCAACCTCCACCTACCAAGACAGCTCACTAGGTATATCTGCACAATGACTTTTCCTCTTCCTTTCCTTAAGGAAGCAGGCAGAAGATGGAATTTAAATACAATGCATTTATGAACAAATTAAAGAGATGTTCAAATCCTTTCTCAAAAAATATTTAGCTATAAAATCCAGAGGGTTAGGTATAGTAGTAAAAATGTGCAAAAACCCCTTTCACTGTCATCTGCTAGTTATTTTGCAACCTGGATGTGGTTGCTCCAGAAACATCTTAAGGAGGAAGAGTCAAATGTCACATCTTCAAACTTTTTAAAGAAAATGGCATGGGCACAAAACAAACCTGTACCAAAACATATTAGCAAACTCATCACTTATCTATCTGTCCATGGATCTGGTGCTAATTCCTCCTGATTTCTGTTTTATGTAGAGCTGGTTTTGGTTTCTTACAACATATTTTTTTAATCTTGGTGCAATTCCCAATCTGTACTTCATTGTCCTTGCAGGTGTTGGTTTCACAGGTTCCACCTCGGAAAAGGCAGCCCAGTGTGACAAAATCTCCTTTGCCTGCATGGAGAAACAACACAAATATTATCCATGTCAGATAACTTCCCAGCAGATATCAATGAGACCACTCGGAGTGTCCTTGGAATGGTGCCTCCCCAAATTTAATTTAATTTAATCAGAATAGAGCTGGAAGGGACCTTGGAGGTCTTCTAGCCATCCGTGGTATCCTTGTGTTGGAAGAAATGTCCATCTGGTTCAGTTCCAAGTGTGGAGTAAGACACTGGAAACATGGAGGCTGATTGGAAAGATGGTTTAATGGAGCAGAACCATCAAGCACATCAGAAATGATATTCTGTTTTCTTTACTACCAGTTCGGTAGTAGGACTGCGCGCTCATGCATGGCCCATCTGGGCATGCACAAAACCTTCTGCGCATGCACAGAAGGTTATTGATAATGTCAAGGTAGGTGCGTGGAGCCTCGTACTGCTGCCACTTCCAGTTTGCCAGAACTGGTGCAAACTGGCAGCATACCACCACTGAAGCATATGGTCCTAGTGCAGCTGACCACATGGATTTGAGACCGGGTGGCTTTTATACCTTCTCTTGGGCTTTGAACTTGAGCTTCCTGTTCTTGTGCAAGAAAATGTATTCTAGTGGCTGCTGTCAGACACCCATGGGATTATGCTGAGGTCATAGCTGAGGTTGTCTGAGATAAGTTTGGTTGAAGTTGCTGGGTGATGATGTAATGAAGAGGCTTGTGTTCCCAAAGGATATTGGATAATTCCTATTGTGTCTTAATGGCTTTGTCCTAGTTTTGGATCTTGAGTGAGGGCTAATCCCAGCACCTTGGAACTGAAGTTTTTTTGTCTTGTAGATAGCTGGCCCAGTCCTGCTGGGATTAATAAGAAAGGTGGGGACTGCTTTCCAAGAGCATGTTTCTCCTTTAGGGAAATATAATATTCTGCCTTTTTAATATTTCTCAAAATATTTCATTCTTCTAGGACAGAGATTGGTGCTAACATTCTACACTACAGTCAGAAATGCAGAAAAAAACAATTACGGCCAACCTGCCTTCCATTGAGGACCTGTATACTGCAAGAGTCAAAAAGAGGGCCTTGAAAATATTTACAAACCCCTCATATCCTGGACATAAGGTGTTTCAACTCCTACCCTCAAAACAACACTATAGAGCACTGCACACCAAAACAACTAGACACAAGAACAGTTTTTTTCATGAATGCCTTCACTCTGCTAAACAACTAATTCCCTAACCACTGTCAAACTATTCACTAAGGCTGCATTACTATTACAATTATCTTCTCATTGTTCCTATCACCCATCTCCTCCCACTTATGACTTCAGGACTGTAATTTTGTTGCTTGTGTCTTCACGATTTATATTGGTGTTGATTTCCTGATTGCTAATTTGTACCCTATGACTATCATGAAGTGTTGTACCTTATGATTCTTGACAAATGTATCTTGTCTTTTTATGTACACTGAGAGCAGATGCATCAAAGACAAATTCCTTGTGTGTCCAATCACACTCGGCCAATAAAGAATTCTATTCTATCTATTCTATTCTATTGGGTCAGTTGTGATTCCAATTCCTAATATAGTTTTTCCAGGGCTCTCAATTCATTAATGTTAGCTGGTAATTCTTAAAGTTTTAATCTCAGTACATTTGGAAGTGGCTGGGTTGGAAATGTTGTTTCATCATCCCAGGTTTTGGGGGGAAAGTATGGTTGTGCTGCATTTCATATGGGAAGCTTCCTTGTCCTCCTTAAACGTTATTACCTTCTAGATCAGTGTTTCTCAACCTTGGCAACTTGAAGATGTCTGAACTTCAACTCTCAGAATTCCCCAGCCAGCATTCGCTGGCTGGGGAATTCTGGGACTTGAAGTCCAGACATCTTCAAGTTGCCAAGGTTGAGAAACACTGTTCTAGATAGTAGACTGAAATGTTAGGAATTTCTTGAAAATCATAGTGCACAAATGGGATTTTGCTCACCTGAACTGGCCAGGAAAGACAAGATGACGCTGGCAAAGAATATGCAAATCATCCTCATGGCTGTCAGTCTCTTGACCTGATTAGAGTTTTGGAATCTAAAAGTTGAAAACAAAACCTGCTTTTACAACAGGAATTTGGATGACTGAAGCCAAAATGTTACCGTTCATTTCTAAACAATCTTATTTCATTAGTGTTGATTACTAAAAAATGTTAGGTAGGCTTTAAAAAAAATTGACTTGGACCAGTAAAGCCTGTTTAGAAAAGCATATGTGTATTTCATGTGTTACCTACAAAAGGGCCTCTTAAGGCAAATGTAATGAATAAACACATTATGAAAACAATTGAGAAACTGCTTCAATTAGGAAATAACACGTACTTTAAAAATATTTGTTTACTGCAAACAGTTTGAGATATAACTGCCTTTTGCAAATCACACCCATTCATTCGTGAATACCATTGTTAATTGCCACATATTGATGTGTGGATGGATTTATTCTGTTTACTGCAATTCTGAACTAATAAAATCCCTATGTGGACCAATATATCTACTTTAAGCAACTGAATAATATTTTTAAATGCTTTATTAAAAAAACAACACACTACTAAAAGTATAGAACTGCTATATTACAATTTCAATCATACCATATTCTTCAGCTAAACCAAAAAACAACATACGATTCATACAATTCATAGGTTAAAATATAGTGACTAAAATAATAATAATAAAATTAGAGGAATGTAGAAATGCATGACTTTAAACTGTTTCATGTAATTTTAACTTGAGATTTGAAGGCGAGCACCTTATTTCAGAATTTTACTGCAGACGCAGGCAAGAGATGTTTTGAGTTCTAAGCATCAAGGACATCAAAGGAAAATTGACAGAGTTAAAAGGCATACTTGGAAGGAAATAAGGAAAACAAATCCACTCCTGGGCTTAGTGGTATTGGAGCCTGTAGGAAGGATTCAACATGTCATTCAGGCCTATTGGTTCAGTTCTAAATTCTACTATGTCATAATAGGTAAACCAAGAAAAATTCCAGGTAGGAAGTCTAAACCAGTGTTTTACAAATTGGCAACTTTAAGATGTGTGGACTTCAGCTCACAGAAATACCCACCCAGCCACGCTATCGGGTAGTTCTAGGAGATGGAGTCCATACATATTAAAGTTGCCATATGCTGCTCTAAATTTAACCTTATTACTTAAAGTAAATGCTAGAAATCAGCTACAGATGGCGGGAATTAATTAATTACTTCCATACTACATTTTGGGGAATAGTTTCCAGCTCTGATTAAAGCAAGAGTATTTACACCTACTCCAACTTGCCTCCTTTCATATTTCTTGCTCTGCTACCCAGGCTTTGGTACATATGAGTTTGCCAAAAGGGGATCAATTCATATAGCTCCCATGTCAATATATGGCTCTGGGCATCTCTCACTATTGAACAAATAAAATATATACAAATAGAAATTTGAAATAAACAAGAAATAAATACATAGTAACTGAAGAATTATAAACCTAACATATAGCCAGGTAATGGACTCTGTCACACACCCACATTTGTAATCCAATTTTGTCCTGCTTTTTAAAAAATACCTGTTGTAAATATTGGGGCTTACTGATTATCCAGGCATGCTTTGGGTTGAAAAGCCGTGAAAACTTAAAAAAACAACTTCTAGTGATGTGACTTCTCAGATCATTCCATTGATGTTTGTTATGCACTCGACATTGTAACAGAACAACACTGGAGGTCTTCTAGTTCAATCTCCTGCTCAAGTAGAGACCCTCTACCAGGGGGTCAAACTGGCGGCCTACAAGCTACGGCCACCCCAACTCCACAAACAGGAAAAAATGTCACAAAATGTTACATGATGGCAACATGATGCTGCGAGTTTGACACCAGTGCCCTACATCATTACAGACAAGACGTGGTTGTCCAATATTTTCTTAAAAATCTCCAGTATTGGAGCAGCCACAATTGCTGAAGGCAAGCTGTTCCACTGATTAATTGTTCTAACTGTTAGGAAATTTCACCTTATTTCTAGGTTGGTTCTCCTTGATTAATTTCATTCAATTGTTTCTTGTTCTGCCTTCAGATGTTTTAGAGAATAGGTTTGTGGAAGCCCCTTTGATATTGGAACACTGTTATAATGTCACATTTAATTCTTCTTTACATTAAACTGGACATTACAATTCCTGTAACTGCTCTTCATATGTTTTAGCCCCCGTCCCCTAATCATCTTTGTTGCTCTCCTCTGCATTCACCCTCAACATCTTTTTTTATATTGTGGCAACCAAAACTGTATGCATGGCTATGAAAAGCTGGACATAAGAAAGGCTGAGCACCAAAGAATTGAAGCCTTTGAACTATGGTGCTGGAGAAGACTCATGCGAATCCCAAGGACCGCAAGGTGATCAAACCAAGTCAGTCCTAGAGGAAATCAACCCTGACTGCTCTTTAGAAGGCCAGATCCGGAAGATGAAACTCAAATACTTTGACCACCTAATGAGAAGGAAGGACTCACTGGAGAAGAGCCTAATGCTGGGAACAATTGAGGACAGAAGAAGGGGATGAAGAGAATGAGGTGGCTGGATGGAGTCACTGGAGACATAGGCATGAGCTTAAATGGACTCCAGAGGATGGTAGAGGACAGGAAGGCCTGGAGAAACATTGTCCATGGGGTCACAATGGGTCAAACATGACTTTGCAACTAACAAGAACAAACCAAAACTGGATGGAATATTCCTAGTGTGGCCTTTCATTATAAAGTGGTACTAGCAAGACATTATAAATTGGGACTAACATTTCAAGTGATCTTGATTCTATCCCTGTGTTAATGCAGCCTAGGACTGCCTTAGCTTTTTGGCAGCTGCAACATAGAATCTCCATAGACACAGTACGGCTCATATTTAAATGTTTGTCCACTTGAACTCCAAGATCCCTCTTGCAGTTACTGCTGGTGAGCCAAGTTTCACCTACTCTGTACCTCTACATTTGTTTTTTCTTGCTTCATCATTGAATTTGATTTTGTTAGCTAGGGCCCGATGTTCAAGTCTGTTGAGATCCTTCTGTATCTTCAGCCTATTTCCTGGAGTATTGGATAATCCTGTCAGCTTTGTGTGATCTGCTAATTAGATGACTTCACCTATTCCCTCATCTAAATTATTTATGATGATATTGAAGAGAACTGGGCCCAAGATTGAATCTTGGGGTACCCCACTGTGTGTTTCCCTCCATGTAGATGTTGAATGTGGTTGGTTAGCCATTTATTAATCTATCTGGTGGTGATGCTATCTAACTCACATTTTTCTATCTTTATCAAGTAGTAGATTGTTTTCTACTTTATTAAATGCCTTACTTAGTCCAAGTAAATTATGTCCACAACATTTTGTGGTTTCACTAATTTAGTCACTTTGTCAAAGAATGCATTAAGATGTGTCTGACATGATCTGTTTTTACAAACCCATGTTGGCTTCTGGTTATACGTTTGCTTGCTTCCAGCTGTTTGCAGATTCATTACTTGATTATCTTTTCCAGGATCTTCCCAGGTATTGATGTCAGGCTGATAGGTTTGTAGTTTTATAGCTCTGTATAGGTGTTCTCTTACATTTTCTTGCTTATTTTGACTTGTATTTTACAGTATTTTTGATAGGTTGGACTATTTTTTCCTTTTAGTAAAGACAGATATAAAAAAATGAATCAAGCAGTTCATTTTCTTCCTGGTGCTTGTCACCTTTTTGCCATTTTCCCCATTATGAACCAATTGTTTCCTTGACTTTTTTCTTTTTCTTTTTCATGTTGAAAGCAGCTTTTAAAAAATTATTTTAAACATTAGTTAATTTTGAGCCTAAACTTTTCCTAACTTTATTTTTTGCATGTTTGGGCTCATCATTTTTAAAATTTCATGTTTTATAAAATCTGTTTCAGTGGTTATGAATTGCTGCCTGATTACATGTTTAGTTCTTTATACATCATTGTAAGTCATTTTGAATATTGAATATAATAGCAAAGCAGGTGTTCATGTGGATGAAACACATGGCAATGTAAACTTCATTATTTATGCATGAACATGGAAACTCTAGAATTATTGCAAATAAA